CTGGGGTTACTCGCCGCCGAGCAGGCCTGGCGCTTGCACCTTCGGCCCCTGTGCTGGACTAGCGGTAGCTTTGCCGTCCTGTTGAGAAGGTAATGGTGAGCGTGCGTTCGTTGTTTAAGTCCGCTTAGGTGCGGTTGCTTGGCGTTGCGTTGCTGCTGGAGGTGCTTCCAGGCCAGTTTTGTTCTCCGTGACCAAGATCATTGACCGTTCCTGAAGAGCCTACCCAGGCATGACCCGGAGGCCTTCCTCCTACCTGTGCAAAGCCCCCCCCTCCCCACCAGAGCCTCTGAGGAGAGCTCTTCTGTCCTTGGTCTCGCCTCTCTGCAGCAGAGTCCAGCCCTTCGAAGCCTAAAAGGTGGTCTGTGAGATCCGTATCTTGTATTGCTCTGCTTTGGGTAGGTCTTCCAGCAGGACAGCAAGTAGAAGCATTACGTAAAAATGTTCTTTGTCAAAGTAGTTCTAGTTTCTTAGGTAGTTCCTGGTAGAGGCATAGGCCTTAAATTAATTGTATACCTTGTACCGGTTATTATAGAAGCTTTTGTTGTTGATTAAGTCGGTTTTTTACATCACTGTAAGCTGGTTTTGCTATCCGTTCATTCTTATCCTCTTCTGCTCCCTTTCTGGTACACAAATGTTGATGAGACTCTACCATGTACCAGTCTGGGGAGCTGAGCTGAGGGTGTAGCTCTACAGCAGCCTTAGTCATAGGCACTGCTGCTGTCTTACTTTCCTTTCTACCTCAGCTGTGGTTTCTTGTCCCCTGTCTTGCCCCGCTTCCCCAGCCATTGGAGCTTTTGCTGAGCCATCCACAAGGAAATCTAGCCTAGCAAATCACTGAGTAGTTTTCTGTATGGTTAGTTGTCTGAGCCAATTCAGGAAAGGGCCAAATTAAATGTTTTAACAGATTCAAGGGAGGAAGTAGAAAAAGACTAGGAGGACATTAATTAGTGGATAGATTGGCTTGGCCTACTGTAGGACAACTGTCAAAGTTAAAACTTCTTTTTTTCCAGTTCAGTCTGTTACAGGTCAGTTACCCAGTATGATATATCAAGTGGCTGTAGAATCAGCTTGTGCTGTCAGAGTTGAAGGGGTGAGTCTGCCTCTTTGGGCATTAATGCTGACTTAAACTGGCTTACAGTGACTGTGGCAGAATGGCGTGACACCCTAAAACGTTGTTTCTATATAGCAGGATTTAAAGCACAGTGTATCTTTGTGAAAAGAGAAGCTGAAGCAATACCGTGTTTTAATGTCACCTCATCCCTGGGCCCCGCATAGGTTGATTGTTCTTCCAGCCACACGACACTTCTGGAAATGCTGTCTTAGTGATGCACATCTGTAGTTCTGTCATGATTCGCTCCAGCCCTGCTTTGTTCTGTCACATGGAAAAGAAACAGTTTTTAAAAATCAGAAAGTAGTGTAGAAGTGAAAACGCAAGTCACTCATCTGATCTTACTGTCCTGATTTTGACAATGGAATAGCTTTGATTAGTGCCAGACATTTAGCAAGCTGTGCCATTATGTTGTTGAGAACTACATCCCATCTGTATTCTCCCTGCTGTTAATAGCCACACAAAAATCTCTGTTTGAAGGCAGTGCAGGCCGTAGCTCGAGGCTGGTTTTAGGTGTGCATCTGCCTGGCAAACAACATGGGATGACAGCTACTAAAAAAGGACTTCATATCTGTGAAGTCTGGGGGAAATTTTTGCATGTCAAAAACTATGGGGAGAAATAAAATATACGTGAAACAATGGAAGTAAAATAGCAGGAAATAGTTTGGGTTTTTTCTGCCTTCCAGATTTGGCACCTGCAAATTCCAGATATCCTTGTGGACAGTGTCACTGGTAATGGCCAGATGATGGGCAAAATTCTGGACCAGAGAAACCAAAGACAAGGCAAGGTTTGCAAATGTTAGTGGGGTGCGGGAAGGCAGTGATAAATAATGTAGTTTCTAGGTGCAAACAAAAAAGGAGTGTGACAGTCGGTGAATTGTAATAGAAATAGAAGAGGTTTTGAGGCCGCATTGAGAAGAGAGAAGTTTCTGGGGAAGAGCAGAAGTTGAAAATTATGTCGTTTTGTGGTGGAAGTACTGAGTAAAGTGATCTGTACTGCTAGAGTGCATGGCATTTACCTGATGCTCTCTCTCTGCTTCTCTGTTGACTAAAGTGCATCTCTTGAAGTTGGCAGGAGGTAAAACACCTCTGGTTCTTCAGATCAGGAAATTTCTACTGGAGGAGATCTGGGACTTCAGTTACAGCTGTTGTCATAGGTCTCAGACTCAAAGCCAGAAGGATTCTGGCACTGTGTGGGATGGTGCTTCTCCAACATCAGTCTTGAAAACACTGAAGTTCTCATCAGAAACCCCCTTGATTGTATTTTTTGCTTCAAAGTTCCCATCCACTCTCCATTTGAACTCTGGTTTTGGTTGGGGCTTTATATATATATATATGTGTGTGTGTATATATGTTGCACTTCATTTTTCTGTCAAGCACAAATAAATTTTTTGTTTCCCACTTGATGAAAATACTCTGTCCTGCATTCTGATAGACTTCAAACTTGCTAAAATATGCCAGAGAGTGTCTTGAAGACTTAGTGCTCAGGGATCAGCAACGTGTGCGCCCAATGTAGCTTACAGCATCCACAATTCCAGTAGAGCAGAAACCCTAGGACAGCAAAAATGCGCACAGTTCTGTTGACATATCTGATATCTCTATGAAAGTTTTCTAAAAGCTGAATCCTCTGGGATCTACCAAGCCAAATCAAAATGTTAGGCTCACAATTCAAATTATAGAATGTATATATGCTGTTTAACAGTCCTCCAGCGTAAACATACCGTACGTTTCAAAGCTTTCATCAGTATTGGGAACTAGTACTTGACTTCACATCCTGCTACTGATAATTAGCATTGTTCTCCACTTTCTAAACTTTCCATTGTGGTCCTTGCTGTCTTTACAATCACAGCTTTGTGCAAACATAATGCTCATTTTGTTAACGCTGAACTAGCAAAGTCCCAAATTTCCTGTCTTTGCAGGAGACCTGTAAAAACATACAAGGAAACAACAGTATAAAAAGAATTCTTTATCATGTTCATAATATGGTATTTTCTTGAGCAGACTCTTCTAGGACATAGAATGTCCATGCTGTGGCTGAAGGAATAGCATATCCCAGATACTGTAAATTTAGTTTGCCTGTGTTGTTGGTGACAATGTAGCTACAGAAGCACAGAGCTAAAGGCAGTCTGTGAAATCTGCCTGGGACCTTGTCAGGAGTCTATGTGGATTGCACTCCCTGCTGCTGTGGCAACGCTGTCGCGAGATCATCCCACTAGTAGGTGTCCCAGCTAATCTAAAGCTAGCTCAAGCATCTCTGCAAGCCACGGTGTTCGGTAAACATGCTGGTAGAAACAAAACACAATATGGAAACTGCGTAGCAGATGCTGTGTTTTGCATTTGGGTAATACACATGCTTGCCTGTGTTATGTATGCTTTCATTACAGGTTTTATTAACTTTAATCTTAGTAAATACCCTTCTAACACAAGCACCTTTCATAATCAGTGAAGATATGCTTTGATAGTCAGATATAAGATCTTCTAAATTCCAGATTTATGTTGTATTCACGAAGAGGAATTGCAAAGTTCTTTTTTCCCTTTAGAGCAAAATTTGACATTAGTCCTTAGAGATCCTTATTGTTCTTACACAGTTCTAATTCAGATTGAGATTCTCTTTGAATGTTGTATTGCAATTGCTAGATATCAACTTAAGGGATTTAAGTGATGACATCCTTCTTAATTTTTTGTTTTAAGTGAGCAACCTTAGTTATGCTACACATCAGAGCAATGTTACTTGTTGATACAATGAACTTGACTGTAATAGTTTTGTTTTAAAAATGAACCGGCATATCATGCCTGGATAAAACCAGGTTAGACAAGAAACTTCCATCTTTTTAAGGAGTATAATTTTAGCAGATTTCAGTTGCTACTTTTCAATAATATTGAATTCTGTCATCTTCAATCTTGCAAACAAATCTGTAAGGCTTCAAAATGAAATGGCAGCAGGGTGTTCAGTTTTGTGATAAGTATCTGCATCAGTAATAATGGAAAGTG